ATTGCCAGCAGGTCAAGGGAGGTGATCCTGCCCCTCAGCTGTAGTGAGGTACATCTGTGTCCAGTTCTGAGCTCCTCAGTACAAGAGAGACATGGAGCTCATGGAGTGGGTCCAGGAGAGGGTAACAAAGATGGTTCAAGGACAGGAGCATCTCTCTTAGGAGGAAAGGCTGAGGCAGTTGGGTCTGTTCAGCCTTGAGAAGAGATGGCTGAGAGGGGAACCTCATCAATGTCTATAACTATCTGAAGGGAGGGTGCCAAGAGGGTTCTGCTCAGTGGTGCTGATCAATAGGACAAGAGGCAATAGGCAGAAATTGATGCACAGGAAGTTCCACCTGAACAAGGAAGAACTTTCCTGTGAGGGTGACCTTGCATAGGAACAAATTGCCTGGCGAGGTTGTGAAGTCTCTCTCACTGGAGATATTCAATAACCATCTGGATGCAATCCTGTGCCATGTACTCTAGGATGGCCCTGCTTCAGCAGGGAGGTTGGACCAGCTGACCCACTGTGGTCCCTTCCAACCTTACCTATTTTGTGATTCTGTGATTAAAAGAGACTTGTACAAATAATGAGACTGAAGAGTTGGATATTATAATTGGCTAAGAGGAAAGAGTCTAGAGAAACAAACATCTTCAGACAAGAAAGTAGAAATTTGAGAGATGTCTATAAATTCATAGAGATTTTACAGTTGTTGCCTGATATTTTCATCAATTGTTGAGAACTGAAGAGGAATTATTTGATTTAAATTAGAGCACAGGCAATTTTTTTAGATATCAAGGCAAACTTTATTAGGATAGCAGATGAAGTCCCTTGGATTTCAGACACTGCAAATATCTCAGGCTAGAGATAACAGTCAGCCATCTTTGCATGTAAAGGCCTTGCCCTTTTTGATAAATGTGTCTGCTTATGGAAGTTTTGGTGTAATCACTACGCAGAGAGACTTCCCTCCTCCTTCCTATCATGTTGTTTTTTCTGGTGGTTGACAGCTTTTCCTCTTACCCAGATCTCTTTTTGTTCACTTTTATTCCCATTCAGAAGAACAATGAGAGGAAATTAATGGCTCCCCAAAGGCAGAGACTGCAATTTTGAGTACCTCTTACATAAGCTACATAAGAAGTAAGGGAAGATTTCTTTTAAAAAAATTATTTCTTTCCTGAACACTTCAGAAAAGACATAAGCTGTAAATCTGACTTGTTACTGTTACAGATAATGATAAGGTATTTCAATTAATGATACACGTACTTAGGTGATGTTAATTGGCATTGTTTCATCTGACCCAGAATGATCACCGATCTGTTCTCCCTGCATATACTGCATCTTCTGTACTTTCAACAAAACTTGCCAGTGAGCAACAATCTGCTGATAAGCTTGTGAATGGAAATCATGTTGAATAAGAACTAGAGATGGAAAAATAAGATATTCCTCCTTTGGTGATTCAAGATTTTTTTTGGTGCTGTACATATACATTTTTTTTTAAAATTAACTGAAGCAAAGAAATTTCTACTCTTTACTTTGGAAGTTCCTAGAGGTCATAAGACTTTCACTGCCAGGCAGCTGTTGCAGTCTCCCGGCAAAAATGTGTTCTCAGCTGTACTAATGCAACACCTCATTAATTTGAGCAAAGGGGCATGCACCTGTCTATGCACAGGGCTGGTCTTTCAGCTTTTGCTCTGTTCTGTTTTCTTCTCTATAATTGATAAAGACTTTCTCACACCCTTCAGCCCCTGTAGCTGACAATTACTCATTCTGCTTTTCTGCCTTTATTTTTTTTTTTTCTGCAAGCTTTAGTTCATCTTCTGTAGTCTTCATTGGTTCTCTCCCTTTATCTCCATTTTCATTAGGTCTTTCAGCTGTTCTTAGAGAGTCATATATATCACTACTAATTGATTGCATTTTTCTGTGTCAGTGAGACTAAAGTCTGTTATGTGTTAATTAGTGTCTTGCAAGATTCTCTGAGCTGCAACCACACTCAGAGGTTCTAAAGGTTTTTTGTCATAGCCCCATCAGCTTTTTACATAATAATTTTTATCACATTTTCCATGTGAAATCTAATAGCTGTGTCAGGCTTTCTGGGACCATTCCATGGAGCTCAAAATTTAAGTAACTGCATTAGCCATGCCAATATCTTGGGTTAGTCATGAGCCCTACCATATTCGGCACTCTGTGTAGAGTGCTAACCCCCTTCTGTGAACCTCTAAGAGCTTGTACTTTCATTTTTTTAAATCAAATCAGCTTTTCATCCTTCTTGTTCTAGATGAAAGCCTGAAAGATGCAGTGCCTGTGGAGTCCAATCCCAGAGGGCAGAAAAGAACTCGAAACATCATTTTTAAATGTCACGATTCTGAAGTAAATCTTGTGGATTTTTTGGTCTGCCTGATGATTTTTGGATGTTGGTAATCACCTCTGATCAGCAGCCTTGATGCTTCACATCTTCAACTTGAGACATAAATACCTCTGTTAGCACAGGAGTTTAGGAACTAAGGAAAGGTTGATCCCTGGAAAACAGGAAACTGTTGCTCGCTGACAATTTTTGTTGATCTGTTGGTGCACAACATTAAGTGAGATATAATAAACCCTTGCATAACCTATAGCATTCTAAGCTTTAGACAGATCTTACTCTGAACACATGCTTTCCTACTTCTGAATAGTCCCAGTAAAGAACATATTGACAAAGAGACTAAAGAATTAAGCATCATATAAAATCTAGCCAGCTTATGACCTAAATGGTGTTATGGAAGACTGATGGTGCTTTTAAATCTGTCAGTGTAGACCACAATAATACAGTCTTATTCTCTGCCTGTCTCCAAGTTTAGACACTTATATGATAATACAATTACCGAGTAGGAAATTTTCATTAATAACATGAGTACTAAGAATAAGGGAAGGAAAATTCAGGACTTCATTGCTTCTTTAGGTAAGTAAAACTGTCTCACAGTATTAGAATATCCTCAGGTCTTTTTGAGTATTGGAACTAAAATTTTTGTTCTTAGGGCTGTTTTGACCTAGGCAAGAACAGCTACTTTTGCTACCTCAGTCTAGAAAGTTTTTTCTTAGTCACTCTTCATCCTGGCTAAGAGAAGAAAGAACTGCTCGAACCCATTAAAAAGAAAAAAGAGGGGAAAAGTATCATCAGTTTTAAATTCAGGTAATTGACAGTGATCTAGTATTTTGTCTTATAAAGAAATCTCACAGAACAGATTAAAAAAACAAGTGAAATTTTTTTAGGAAACATTTTAAATTTCATTTTTTTATTGTAGGATAATAATTTTGGATATTCAAGTGCTGACATTTTGTTGCATTTAGGAGTTGGTCATGAATTTCTCACTTTGATTTCATCCCAATAAGAATTTCTGGATGGGTTAATTAGTTAAACCCTATAACTTCTAGTTTTTTCATGGAAGTATATTATATTACCTCTAGAAGAAAGCGTTAAGTCTCAGATGAGTGCCTTTGAACTTAACTACGATACACTAAATGAGCCTGTTCATAAGAAGGAAGTCACTGGGAACGCTTTGAAATGCATTGCTTTAGAAAGTTTGTAAGCGTCTGGAACAATTTTGCAGCTTTGTAAGTCTTCAAGGTCATGTGAGAAAGCTTAAGGCTTAAAAAAGTTGAAGGGAACAGCTGCAGTTTTTGAAAACAGTACAGGCAAACTTGAAACGTAGTTTTATCAAAGCTTGGCTGTTTTCCTATCACAGACAGTAGACACCACTAATCTCTTCCTTTTGTTTAAACAGATGCTATTTGCTTGGCAAGTAGCTGAATTTTAAATGCAGAAAATTATTATACAAGGGGAAAAATCTTGACTGGAGGTTGGACACAGAGGGTTAAGTTCAAGAAAAGTTCAACAGAAAATCTTATTTTCTCTTACATCTTCCAAACTGTGTGAGGCAATTTTTGCCCCACCTTGGGAACTATACATTTTAATATTCTCCAAAATAAAAAAGTTTGTGTGGGTTTTGTTTGTTTTCTTTGTTTTGTTTTGGTTTTAAGTGACCAAATACAACGGTGATATTCAAGTAGTAAATAGTTGAACCCTATGGATATATTTTGTTTACATGAGTGTATTTGGTGTTAGTGAAAGAGGAGGAGGAATAATTCAGGAGATCATAAATTCTCCCTCTCTCTCCCTTTGGTGTAGCACTGTAGAGTTTCTTTTTACCAGCACAAATAATTTTTTCTCTAGCTAAGCCAGGTTGATCGGCATTCAGTGACATGGAGGCAGATGCTTTTCGGCCTGTTAATTGTCTATAGTGTATTCAAGCTCAGTTGTTTTTCTTCACTTTTCGAGGCTGGATTGGAAAACTTTTCTTCTTACGTGAAGGGTGGCTATCCTTGGGACGGAACTCAGACAGCATCCACTGTTTTCTTGCAAGTCAACCAAAACGTGAGAAGGAGAACAGCATGGAGTCCTGTTGCAGCACAAAGCTTCTAAACATCTCTGTTATAGCTTATGCAAAAAAATTATGCTTTGCATGGCACATGGAGTGATTAATCAGCTCTCAGTAATGTGTCAATAGCTGCTATTTTTGAAGGCAACAATGATCTCGTCTAAAAGGTGGTTCCACCTAGACGCACATGTGGCTGAATATGATGTGGAGATACGGGTCTAATTTGACCTGCTTGGCTCAAGAAGGGGTTAGCTTTCAGGGCTGAGGTAAAAAGTTTCTTGCTAGAGCAAGTTTTGCCTCAAACTAGCCCTTTAGCTTCTGGGATCTAAACACAACAGATGGTACCTCCTGCAATACCATATCTCTTTAACATCATGCTGAGGCTTTGGTTCAGCAGGGGCTCCAGGCACTGATTTCTGCAGTGCTCTACTTTTTTTCCTTCTCTTGTGAGACTCCCATTTCTGTCAAGACATAACATATTTAGCCAGTTATGGCTGCTGAGATCACTAACAGAAATGATTCAATGACAATCCCAATTTTAAAACTGATCTGATTTTAGTACTTTGTTACCAGAAAGCAAAGAAAAAAACTTATTCCCTCTGTTCTTACCTTTACTCTGCACTCTGCACTGCCTCAAAATGCATTGTCTTCACTTCCTACATTCTTCTGTTCCTCCCTCAGGTAGACAGCTGCTAACACAATTCAGGAACAGAGATGTTTGTGATGGTGTTGGGGAAGGTTGGAGCTGAAAGGTGGTATGTTTTAATTCTCAGATTTGTTCTTGCTGTGCAGATATTTCATCCCTGGCACAATTCCACGTGTACAGCAGAATGTTAATTTTTCCTTGACTGACTCTAATTTGGCAGAGGTTATGAACAGCTTAAAAAACAACAACAAAGAAATGGATCCCTTGTTGCTCTGCTTCTGATATTTCTTTCACGTACCAAGGGATAGCAGGATGGGGGTGAGATGAGAGAGGCATAACGCTTTTGAAACAATTTGTCTACTGTTACTGGACATAATTTTTGATAATTGTTTTGGTACTTCTGCGTTCTGTTTATTGGGTTATTCCTCAGATTCCCAATGAAAGCTTGCTGTCAGATCTTTCATTTTTAGGAATGGATGTCATTCACTGTAACTTTTTTGAATGGTAATTGTTAGTGGTACGTAAAAGCAAGTGCTCAGTTTTCCTTTTGTAAAATTAAATGCAAAGAGTTAATTTGTTGGAAAATAAAAGTGAGACTCAGACTTTCCCTCTCCCCAGTTATCCATTCTTTTTGGTACTGTACACTATGAAGAGGAATGTAAAGCAGTTCTTTCATGTATTATGCCTCCTGGAGCTTTATCAGATACTGTACTCAACCTAGTCTTAAGATAAAACCTTAGAGTTCCTTTCCTTTTGTCTATCTCCAAGGACAGGAGATTTATGACTTCTGTATCTCCTGCTGTTTACTGATAAATTCTTTTTGTGGTGTGTTCTCACAATGTACATTAGATGTACTCCTGTAAACCAAAATTGCATAAATATTTCTGTTTGCCAGTTTGTGAATTCACCTGAAGTGAAACTCAGCAACAGGAGACATTTGTCTCAATATTCCTTCATTTTCTTTCTATATTTTTGAGGTTTAACATGATACAGTAATTTTTCTTATATTGTGATATCTTGAGCTCCACTTTAACAAGAATTAATAAGAAGGGAGCGGGTTTATATATGGATCTTCACCTAGCAAAGGTCAGGGGTCCCTCTGGGAAGAATAGCTATTGATAAAGTTATATTTCTAATAACAAATTCCATGAAGTGAAAATCTGCTTTAGGTCACTGGCTATACCTCTTGATACTATTCTGATTTGCCCTGTAACCTGTCTTTGATAACACTGCGGCTTTAGACAGCCCTGCTTTATGAATCCTTGCATCATTGTGAGACTTGGTCTCCAGCAGGGCATTTTTTACCTGAATTAAATTTTCCATATTCAGTTCCTGAGAATTACTAGGCTGTTAGATTTTTTTTCTTTTTTTTTTTTCCCCCCTGTGGTTTGTTTGTTTCTAACAGCTGTAAGTAAATTTGCTATTCCTTTTTTTAATAAAGCCCTTGATACTAGTTTACTTACGTTGCCTTGGTAGTAGTTTCTTTAAATTTCTGACCAGTCTGTCAAGGGCTCCACATTCATCCTAAAGGACATTACAAATTGCTATCACTTCACTGGTGCCTTTTCCATCTTGAATGATCATATCCTTTTCCAGCCTGTACTCCCCATCTTACTACTTCAGAGTTTCAGAAATGTATTCTAAAAAAAATCCATAGAATATAAATAAAATAAATGGTATTACATAATACTATAAAGTAATAATAACATATAGCATATAATTTTAAAAAACTGTTATATAAAAAACTTCTGGCAAGAAAATTAAAATCTCCATGATCTGATTTTTGCTTTAGATTTTATGTCAATAGTACTCAGGGATTGTTTGCTTATGGTTACACTAAGCTTCAGGAGTTTTCATCTTAAGATTCAATCTCTCTCTCAACTGCATGCTAGAGATCCTTCTCGGCTATTGCTGGTTCCCAGTAAAAAATAAATCCCCTAACTCCTGAAAAAATCTCCAATGTGGATTTTGGGACAATACTGTCATTCTTTGAAGACATGTAGCTGGATAGCTCTGAGCGTACCCCAGTCCTTCAGATTCAGTAGCTCTCCCATAGGTTGTCCTATGATGTTTTGAGATGTGCCTCTGCTTTGGACCTCCTTGTCTTCACAGAAGAGAATTATTGCAGTTGGGTTGGGTTCTTCCAGAAAAAAAAACCAAGAGACTGGAGGACTGTAAGACCTGGCTATGGACAACATAAAGGTAGTAAAGACTTTGAACCTTGGAATATGGAAGTAGAGATCTTGCTTGGTCTGGTCTCACAGGTCACTCCCACCTGCTTGCATAGGGATGTACTTGACTACATCTGGCTTTGCATAAATAAGGACATGGCCTGATGGCTCTTTTTCAAATGGTGTGTTAGCTTTCATTGTCAGTTTTTCTCTCAGCTTCTCTTAAAAGCTCCATGTTTGCTTATTTCTTGTTCATTTTCTCTCCTGCAGAGCGTATTCCCCTTCTGCTTATTCAGAGGAATTTTTTTAAAATTCTGTGGAATTACCGATTTCCTTATTTTTTATAGATTCAAATGTTCCTGTGGTAGATAAGGTGTACTCTTCTGTATGTGACTTAGCTACTAGCATCTACTGAGGACGGACTGTTCTCTGTTTGGTGATCTAGTGTGTATCAGGAAAAAAATATATGCCTCCATTGAGCCTTTTATTGCCTCTCAAACTCTTGAATGGATGAGCATTCTTCACACAGACAGAAAAGTAATTTAGTACTTCTCACTGGTTAGTTGTTCAGATGAGACACAGAGGCACCGAGCTTCTTTCTGCTGACTGTAAGATGACTTATTCTAAACCCCTATCTTTGAAGAATTATAAAACATTAAGCAGCACTTCAGAACTTTGATATGAAATAAATAAGCCTCTACAACACAGTATTCATATGTCACAAGCACTGCAATTTTGTTCAAATTGTGAGAATGTTTTCAACAATAGAGTTATTGGTGGTGCCACTTAGTGAATACACAAATGTTAGAAATATTGTTTTTCCCAGAAGTCTAGGTCTACAAGACTTAATTATTATGCCTTCATTTGCTGGATTAGCATCTTGCTCTAATAACATATTTCATATGTTTCAAATTTCATATCTGAGTGTTATGTAAACCACAGACACTGTTTTAAAACCTGTCTCTCCACATTATCTTGTTTTCTTATTATAATTGCCTTCTAATGGAACTGGTTTTTCCATTGCTTCAGGAATTGTGTTGTTTTTTTTTTTCTTTTCTTTTATTTGGATTTTATCTGTCTGTCTGTGTTTGCCTGCATTTTTCCTTATTATTTTTCTTTGTGTTTCTGTGTCTCAGGAACTGATGTTCTCAGTTGAGGTTTTCCAGGTCAAAATACTTTCTTTTACAGGTGACAAAGATTTTATTCTGGGAAGAGGAGGTAAGCAAGTTACATCTCTTCTGTGCTTACATATTCAGCAATTTCTTCCACTTCTGCTGGACCATGCTTGAATAGTTGGATTTGGGGGGGATTAGCTGTTGAAAACATTTTTTTACTTTTAAATTGGGTAATATTACTAGTGGTACTAGTATGATTTTATCATCATACTCTGATATAATTTTCTTAGAATTGAAGTTTACACAGTGCTGTTCTTCGAAGAGAACATTAAGCCCAAGCCCATTTAAATCAACAGTAAATCAGCATCTGAATAGCCTGTGAATCAGGACTGAATAGAGTGTAATTAATTTTCAGAAGTTAGGAACTCTTTTTATTCTCATACTGTTCTTTGTTTCATGATGATGTGTTCTTCTGATGTGCACATTACTGATTTT